TCTCTTCCCTATCTACCTCTCTCTCTCTCTCTCTACCTCCTCTTCTCCATTCCTGCCTTCCACTCGCCCTTCCTTCCTATCTAGGGCCCGTCGTCTACCGCCACGACGGGCTTTCCTTACTAGTAAACTTTATAAAGGACACAAACACAAAGGGGTTTTTTTTAACTTAAAATAAAAACATATCTAAAACATTAGCACGCTTGCAATATTTCGTTTATTTAACAGTGGCCCCAGTCACATGGAGGATTTGCTGCGCTAAAGGCACGAATGTCAGGTGGATTTTCAGGGCGCGATCACACCGCAAAATCTGGGAAGTGTAGTGCACCCGTGGCCAACCCGTGGCATCCCGCCGAAGATCCGCAGTAAAAAAGTACCTCGGAAAGGGCATTAGTATCTGGAAAACGTGGGGCAGGGGCGAGCATCTGATCGCGGGAGCGCGAGTATCCCGTGGCATCCAGCGCTCGTCCACATCCCGTCGCAAACTGGATATTTTTCGTAAGCGCATGCGCACAAACACATAACTGAAATCAGTGTTGTTTCGGAACTGCGCATGCGCGCAAACGCAAAACGCTTGCCGCACCGCTTCTTTGCCATGCTCCAGCATCGCCGTGTGATCGCCAGCTAACAGCCTAAACACAGAGACTCGGGAGACCGTGTGATCGGGCTACCGCGCTTTATTTTGCTCTGGGGCGAACAGCCACGCCTCCCCCCTGCGTTATCTGGCTTGTGTGACCGGGGGGCCAGTGTCTGATAACTGACACCTCTTGCTCTGAATTATTGCATCAAAACGTCTGTGCTGTTGCAATCTTGAGTGTGCTGTTCAGGTGTGTATCTGTAAGCAGCAAACCTATGATGACGCAGCAGCAGTAGCAGAACTGGGAGAAGAAGCAGAAGACAGCCAGTTCCACTGCGAGCCTGATAGAAGCTCTCCGGCGGCCTGATCCGGCCCCTGGGCCGCATGTGGTGACACCCCTGGCCTAGTCAGAACCTCTGTTTAAATTCAGAATTCCCTCCCCTTCATTTCAGCCACCCTGGAGGTACAGGAAAACTTTGGAAACCTCACTCACTAGAATGAGCCTAGGCTGACTCTCTCTTCTTCTCTCTTATGCCTTTTTTTAAAAAACAATTTTATTAGGATATAGTAATAAGTAAAATTATACGTCATATAACAACTTTTCATATCCTTTTATCCAAATATCTCCCCCCCTTCTGACTTCCCACAGTGCTCAAACCTCTATTACATTCTTAAATTTTTTCTCCTTTTCCAATTCTTTAACAACATAATTCTTTCAGGTAACGTATCTTTTTATCTGTTTATCTATATATGTTTAAATTTAATCTAAATGTCCATCCAACCTTAAAGCAAAATAGATTGTTTTTTACATCCCAGTATTTCTCCAAGTAGTCTTTAAAGTCTTTCCAATCTGCAAAAAAATCTTCTGCTTCTTTTTTTAAGCTTTCTCGTCATTTTGTCCATCTCAACCATAAAGAGTAACATTTTCAACCATTACCAGATATCGGGAGTTTCTTCTCTCTTATACCTTGAACCAGCATGGGCCACCGCATGAGGCTTTGACTGCGAAACCCAAATCTCTCAAATTTCAGAAAATAAAGGGAAAAGACTAGAAAATCATGGTAACTTTTAAAAGTCAGGAGGTCCTCAGGGCTTAGTGACTTTCAGGCCACACCAGTCCGAGCACGCCTCTGTCTTCTTGGACTGCATTCCTTACTGCAAGCAAAGCTACCTCACCAAACTCTGCTGCAGACTGGAAATTTAGGAGGAGGCAAAGTGTGGAGGGAACCGGATCTTTCTTTCGGCCGGCACTGTAATGGCAGTTTGAGATCAACCCCTGAGCATGTACAGAGTGCGAACCCCCAAATCACAAAGCAACGTAGAAGGAGAAGAAGAGATTGGATTTATACCCCGCCCTTCACTACCCAAAGGAGTCTCAGAGCGGCTTACAAACTCCTTTCCCTTCCCCTCCCCACCACAGACGCCCTGTGAGGTAGGTGGGGCTGAGAGAGCTCTGACAGAAACTGCTCTTGAGAGAACAGCTGTGAGAGAACTTGTGACTGAAGAAGAGATTGGCTTTATACCCCGCCCTTCACTACCCAAAGGAGTCTCAGAGCGGCTTACAAACTCCTTTCCCTTCCCCTCCCCACCACAGACGCCCTGTGAGGTAGGTGGGGCTGAGAGAGCTCTGACAGAAACTGCTCTTGAGAGAACAGCTGTGAGAGAACTTGTGACTGAAGAAGAGATTGGCTTTATACCCCGCCCTTCACTACCCAAAGGAGTCTCAGAGCGGCTTACAAACTCCTTTCCCTTCCCCTCCCCACCACAGACGCCCTGTGAGGTAGGTGGGGCTGAGAGAGCTCTGACAGAAACTGCTCTTGAGAGAACAGCTGTGAGAGAACTTGTGACTGAAGAAGAGATTGGCTTTATACCCCGCCCTTCACTACCCAAAGGTGTTTCAGAGCGGCTTACAATCTCCTTTCCCCTCCCCTCCCCACAATAGACACCCTGTGAGGTCGGTGGGGCTGAGAGAGCTCTTGACAGAAACGGCTCTTTTTCAAGAACAGCTCTGATCAGAACTACGGCTTGCCCAAGATCATCCAGCCAGGTGCAAGTGGAGGAGTGGGGAATCAGACCCGGTTCTCCCAGATTAGAGTCCGCGCACTTAGCCACTAAACCAAACGACACCAAACTAGAAGGGTTGTTTTTTGCATAAATACCCATTGTGCAGCATCATGTCGCCACGCACGGCAGGGGGTATAGTTCTCTCAAGTCTCAGCTGACTTGTGGCAAGAGAGGAGCAGAGAGGCTGGTTTGCCATGGCCTGACTCTGCATTGCAACCCTGGGACTTCCTTAGCAGTGGTCTCCCATCCAACTACTAACCACCAGGGACTGATCTACCAAAGTCCTACCGAAATGAACAACTCGGTTTTTGCAGAGGAGAAATCACGGGCGGATCGGGGCCCGTACCGACTACCGAGCGGGAAGACGCGGAAGCCTATACCGCTTCTTCCTCTGACCCCGCAACATCATTTGAAAGAGGACCTAAAACTGTCAAAACCAAGATGCCGGCGCTGTTCATCTTCCACGGCATTCGGGACAAGTTATAAACATCTGCTGCATCAGGTTGATACATGAGATTTTACTTGTCTTTAAACGCCGCTGTCATTGACGAATGGGACGCTGCGGCTCGTTAATCAGGTAAGGCCCGGAAAGGCTTTTGAATCAGAAGCAAGCTTGTCTCACGGAAATTATACCCAGATGGCAAAGGAGGGACTCTAAATCTAGGGATGGACATCCCTAGAAAGGGTAAGTTTATATACAGCTTTAAGGCATGGGTCGCAGTGGCTCAGTGGTTAAGACGCTGAACTGCAGACCGGAAGGTCTGTACTTCGGCAGTTCAAGACTAGAGATGTGAAGGTTCGGAAAAAAACCAGAAAAATTCAAGAAAAAACCATATTTCCCCCGTTTTTTTCCTGAAGCCTTTTTTTTTTCTTTTCAAAAAATTGGAAAAATTGAAATAAGAAAAGAAAAAAATTGATTATGGAACGTTTTATTTTAACATGATGAATAAAATATTTTAAGACAAGGTGTTCAAATATTTTCCAAATCATTTCTAAAATATATATATATATATGGTATCAGATTGATCTAATTTCTGTGCACTGAGGACAAGCAAGTCCTAGGTTACAAACTGAACTCTCCAATGCAAGAACAAGATGCATTTCTTCCTTTAGGAGGTGCGATTGTCAGAAGAAAATAAAAAGGTTTCAGTTTTGTTTTTGCATGTGGGTGGGTATTCTGTAATAATTGTTTGGATACACTATATTTTTAATATGCTAGTTGTGATAATTTCATGCCAAGTAAAAATGTCCATAGTCATATTTTATGTTCCTAAAGTAACAGAATGACTTTCAATCTAGAAAAGACAAAAGAAATGCTAATGTAGCATTTTTTTCAATTTTTCCGAAAATTTCCGTTTTTTTCCAGAAAAAAACTGGGTTTTTTTCCGAGCTTCAAAATTTCCGGAAATTTTACATCTCTATTCAAGACTCGAGTGCCGCGTGACGGAGTGAGCTCCCGTCTCTGGCCCCGGCTCCTGCCAACCTAGCAGTTCGAAAGCAAGAAATTGCAAGTAGATAAATAAGTACCACTTTGGTGGGAAGGTCACAGCGTTCCGTGCACCTCGGCATCTAGGCATGCCGGCCACATGACCACGGAGACATCTTCGGACAGCGCTGGCTCTTCGGCTTGGAAACGGAGATGAGCACCGCCCCCTAGAGTCGGATTCGACTGGCTTTTGAGCAAGGGAAACCTTGACCTTTTACCTTTAAGGCTGACAGTGGAGAAACGGAAATGGTTCAAGATTTTCCATTCCTTGACTCCACCGTCAACCAAAAGGGGGACTGCAACCAAGAACTCAGAAGTGGCTAGAAATGATTCTTGAGCATAAGGATGTGTTGCTGGCGACCAAGATCAAGTTAATTCATGCCACGGCAGCGGAAAGCGCCGTCACGTCACAGCTGATTTCTGGCGACCCTGTAGGGTTTCCAAGGCAAGAGATGTTCGGGGCTGGTTAGCCACTGCCTGCCTCCGTGTCACTACCCTGGTGTTCCTTGGAGGTCTCCCATCTAAATGCTAGCCAGGGCCGGCCCGGATTAGCTTCTGAGATCTAATGATATCGGGCTAGCCCGGGCTATCCGGGTCAGGGCCATTCATGCCGTGGTATTCCCTGTTACTACGTAAGGATGTGGAAGTTGGACAATGAAGAAAACAGACAGGAGGAAAGTTGACTGCTTTGGAATGTGGTGCTGGGGGAGAGTTTTACGGGTACCGTGGACCACCAAAAAGGCAAAGAAGTGGGCTGTAGATCAAACCAAGCCGGAACTCTCCCCAGAACCTAAACTGACTAAACTGAGGCTATCGTACCTTGGTCACGTTCTGAGAAGACAAGAGTTACTGGGAAAGACAATTGTGCTCGGAAACGTGGAAGGCAGCAGGTATTTGATTTTGGCTGTTCCAGGGGTGAGACGGGGTTAGATGTTGGTAGAGAGGCACCAATTGTGTCCAAAGCACTGTTCCCTCTAAGCTGAGTTAGTGTGAGCCAGCTCACAGTTTTTTAGCTTCCGGCTCACACATTTTTGCTTTAGCTCAGGAAGGATGGCTTCAGAACAAACTGATTTATGCAGTAGCCAAATCACTCACTCACAACTTTAATGCCGGTAGCTCACAAAGTAGAATTTTTGCTCACATGTCTCCACAGCTTAGAGGGAACATTGGTCCCCACCCTTCACTTGGAGTCTCAGGGCAGCTTACAAACTCCTATCCATTCCCCTCCCCACAACAGACACCCTGTGAGGTCGGTGGGGCTGAGAGAGCTCTTTCCAGAACTGTCCTTGAGAGGACAGCTCTGAGAGAACTATGGCTTGCCCAAGGTCATCCAGCAGCTCCAAGTGGAGGCGTGGGGAATCAAACGCAGTTCTCCCAGATTAAAGTCTGCACACGCGACCACTACACCACCAGGACCCAATAGGAGACAGATGGACTCAATCCAGAAAGCCGTGGCCCTCCGTTTGAAAGACCTGAGCAGGGCTGTTAACAATGGGGCGTTTTGCAGAATGTTAATTCATAGGTTGCTGTAGATTTTCCGGGTTGTATGGCCGTGGTCTTGGCCTTGTAGTACCTGACGTTTCACCAGCAGCTGTGTCTTTCCCATCATCTACTGCCTGGTCCTTTCTAACTGGAGATGCGGGAGATTGAACTTGGGACCTTCTGCATGCAAAGCAGATTCTCTACCACTGAGCCACAGCCCCTCTTTACAGCTCTCCCAGGGTCTCAGGCAGAGGTCTTTCCCATCACCTCCTGCCTGTTCCTTTTTAACTGGAGATGCCGGGGATTGAACCTGGAAACTTCTGCATGCCAAGCAGAGGCTCTGCCACTGAGCCACAGCCTTTGTCTGTGTCTCTCCAGGGTCTCAGGCAGAGGTCTTCTCATCACCTCCTGCCTGTTCCTTTTTAACTGGAGATTCTGGGGACTGAACCTGGGACCTTCTGCATGCCAAGCAGATGCTCTACCACTGAGCCACAGCCCCTCTTTACAGCTCTCCCAGGGTCTCAGGCAGAGGTCTTTCCCATCATCTACTGCCTGGTCCTTTCTAACTGGAGATGCTGTGGATTGAACTTGGGACCTTCTGCATGCAAAGCAGATTCTCTACCACTGAGCCACAGCCCCTCTTTACAACTCTCCCAGGGTCTCAGGCAGAGGTCTTTCCCATCATCTACTGCCTGGTCCTTTCTAACTGGAGATGCGGAAGACTGAACTTGGGACCTTCTGCATGCTAAGCAGAGGCTCTGCCACTGAGCCATGATCCCTCTTTACAGCTCTCCAGGGTCTCAGGCGGAGGTCTTTCCCATCACCTCCTGCCTGTTCCTTTTTAACTGGAGATGCTGCCGGGGATTGAACCTGGGACCTTCTGCCTGCCAAGCAGATCCTCTACCACTGAGCCACAGCCCCTCTTCACAGCTCTCCAGGGTCTCAGGCTGAGGTCTTTCCCATCATCTACTGCGTGGTCCTTTGTAACTGGAGATTCCGGGGATTGAACCTGGGACCTTCTGCATGCCAGGCAGAGGCTCTTCCACTGAGCCACAGCCCTTCCCCATTGGGGTAAAGGAGCCTACCGACTCCACCATTTCCCAACCAGAGTGAGTCCCACTGTCCTGAGACAGCTGTGACTTCCCCTGTGCTTTACGCTGCCCCATTTCTGACTCCGGCTTACCTGCACGGGATTGTCCATCAAATTGAGTGTCCTGAGGAGGGGCAGGGTTTCGACGTACTCCAGCTCCCCCAGCTCACTGATCTAGTGGAGAGACAGGAAAGTGACATTTATTTGGGGGGGGGAAGTGATCAAGAAACCCATCCGGAAGCAGAAAACTGCTGAGTCCAGTTGATCCAGAACGGAGTGGGAGGTGCAGCCCCGCCCACTTGAGGCACGCCCACTGTGTCATGTGCCTCAGGTGGGCATTGCTGCAACAAAGGGCCAGGTCCTTTTCAGTGGCGGCTCCTATCTGGTGGAACGAGCTCCCGGAAGAGATCAGGGCCCTGCGGGACATTTTGCAGTTCCGCAGGGCCTGTAAGACGGAGCTCTTCCGCCGGGCGTATGAGTAGGAGCGGCCACTGCTATTGGGATTACCATCACCGTTCTCCAGAGAGTACTACCACCGGAAGACCGTGTGACATCTAAACGGGGCCCGAGCCTTCCCCTGCTATGCAGAACGAGGAGTTTGTTTTTCCTCTCTCTCTTGCATCCGGAATGGAAGTGAATTCTTAAATTGTTTTTATGTATTTTTAGACGGTAATTTATATGCACTTTGTGCTCGTGTAAGCCGCCGTGAGCCCGCTTGAGGAAAGGGCGGGGTATAAATGTAATGAAAATAAATGAATAAATAAATTGCTGCTCAAGAAGCTTTTGAGTTCTAGAACGTTCCACCGATGGACTCCGCAGATGCTCAAGATCTCAACAATGTGACACGCACAGACCACAACAGAGGAGAGATGCTGGCCGATAGATGAGCGGCTACTTAGAGGAAGAACAGATTGGATTTATACCCCGCCCTTCACTCAAGAGTCTCAGAGCGGCTTACGAACTCCTTTCCCTTCCCCTCCCCACCACAGACACCCTGTGAGGTAGGTGGGGCTGAGAGAGCTCTTTCCAGAACTGCCCTCGAGAGAACAGCTCTGACGGAACTACGGCTTGCCCAAGGTCATCCAGCAGCTGCATGTGCAGGAGTGGGGAATCAACCCCGGTTCTCCCAGATTAGAGTCCGTGCACTTAACCACTACACCAGACTGGCTGTTTATAATGTTTCAATGCTTCTTCTTTAGATACCTGCCTGAGGCATGTCATAAACTAGAAATAGTAAAAACAAAACATTAAAAGGCATTTGCTAAAATCCAGCATTTAAAAAAAATCCCAAACTCTGCTAACATCTCAGAAGCTGGGGACTGACCATGTGAGAGCTTCAGTGCTGTGAACATACAAATGAAGCTCCTTTCTACTGAACCAGACCATGGGTCCATCAAGGTCAGTATTGTCTGCTCAGGCTGGCAGCAGCTCTCCAGGGTCTCCCTTTTAACTGGAGATGCCAGGGGTTGAACCAGAGACCTTCTGCACACCAAGCAGAGGCTCTGCCGCTGAGCTACAGCCCCACTTCATGGCTCTCCAGGGTCTCAGGCTGAGGTCTTTCCCATCACCTCCTGCCTGGTCCTTTTAACTGGAGACACCGGGGATTGAACCAGAGACCTTCTGCACGCCAAGCGGATGCTCTACCACTGAGCCACAGCCCCACTTCATGGCTCTCCAGGGACTCGGGCAGAGATCTTTCCCATCACCTACTGCCTGGTCCTTTTTAACTGGAGATACCAAGGATTAAACCAAAGACCTTCTGCATGCCAAGCAGAGGCTCTGCCACTGAGCCACAGCCCCTCTTTACAGCTCTCCAGGGTCTCAGGCGGAGGTCAGTCCCATCACCTACTATCTGGATCCTCTTAACTGGAGATGCTGGGGACTGAACCTGGGACCTTCTGCATGCCAAGCAGAGGACCTACCACTGAGCCATGGCCCCTCCCGAAGGTCCCTGTGTATAACGGAAGATGCCAAGTAATAGAAACTGCAGGGTAATTTATGGACCGCAGAAGATATTCAGCACAAACGATAGGCTCCAGTATCCCTTGACGCACGGTTTGGACCATCTGGGTGGGAAATGAATCAAGCACATACAAGGGGAAGCATGGCTGTGCTTCAAATGCTTCCCACAAAAAAAGAAAACCCTTTGAGTCAGGGAAAATAGCTCTTTGTCCCTGATGTGCTATTTTTCTACATAAAAGCAGGGGAGGGGGGAAGCAGGGGAGTTAGGGGGTTGTCAAGAGAGGCGTGCACTCAGCCTAGAGTTGCCATCCTCCAGGTGGGGCCTGGAGACCCCCCCATTTTCACAACTGAGCTCCAGACGTCACAGACATCAATTCCCCTGCAGAAAATGGCTGCTTTGGAGAGTGGACTCTACGACATTATAACTAGATCCAGTTTGGTGTGAGAGCCAGTTTGGTGTAGTGGTTAAGTGCGTGGACGGTTTGGTGTAGTTCAGGGACTTAGAGAGCTCTGACAGAAACGGCTCCTTAGAGTCTGCACACTTAGAGGCTCCTTAGTGTCTGCCAGTTTGGTGTAGTGGCTAGGTGTGCGGACTCTAATCTGGGAGAACCGGGTTTGATTCCCCACTCCTCCGCTTGCACCTGCTGATGTGACCTTGGGTCAGTCACAAGCTCTGGCACAGCTGTCCTTGAAAAAGAGCAGTTTCTGTCAAGAGCTCTCCCAGCCCCACCCACCTCACAGGGTGTCTGTTGTGGGGAGGGGAGGGGAAAGGAGTTTGTAAGCCGCTCTGAGACACCTTTGGGTAGTGAAGGGCGGGGTATAAATCCAATCTCTTCTCTCTTCTTCTTCTTCTTCTTCTACCTCACAGGGTGTCTGTTGTGGGGAGGGGAGGGGAAAGGAGTTTGTAAGCCGCTCTGAGACACCTTTGGGTAGTGAAGGGCGGGGTATAAATCCAATCTCTTCTTCTTCTCTTCTTAACCACTACACCAAACTGGCTCTCAAATCTTCCAAGGGAGCTTTGACTCTTGAAAGCCAATACCCTGAAAAACCTTGTTGGTCTTCAAGGAAGAAGAAGAGGAGAAGATTGGATTTATACCCCGCCCTTCGCTACCCAAAGGAGTCTCAGAGCATCTGACAAACTCCTGTCCCTTCCCCTCCCCACAAAAGACACCCTGTGAGGTAGGTGGGGCTGAGAGAGCTCTGACAGAAACTGCTCTTTTTCAAGAGCAGCTGTGCCAGAACTATGGCTTGCCCAAGGTCACGCCAGCAGCTGCAAGTGGAGGAGCGGGGAATCAAACCCGGTTCTCCCAGATTAGAGTCCACGCACTTAACTACTACGCCACACTGGCTCTGCTGGACTCGAATCTAGCTGAGATGGTATAATCCGGGCTGGATAAAAATGGCTCTTTTGTGACACGAGATAACGACGTATTGTTTGGCTGAACTTCAGAAAAAAGGACACAAACTTAGGCCACGGTCACACTGGAGGCTTGGCACGATCTGGAGGCGCCTCTATTTGTGGCCCTTTAAGTTGTTATGGGAAGGGGGTGACCAGACAAGCACACCCCGAAGTGGCTCCTCTGCGTGCCGGTCCCACGCTGAAGCATCCACATTACTGGCACCTCAACCACGGAGCGCGGCCCTTGCTGGCAACAGGGTTCGCTTATGCTCATATGGGCTTATGCGCACGTCCCTACCGGGCGGGAAAGCCCCCACGATTGAGACGGAAGTGACCGTTCACACTTCCCATCCGGTATCTGTTTGCGACAGGGGGGTCCAGACATCGGGAAAAGCAGGGTGGAAGAACTGGCGTGCGTAAAGACCGGACTTTCCCCCGTGTCGGCAAACTCCGCTTCCAGGACGGGCAGGACCCGGGTGCGGACGACTGGGGCACGGAAGGCAAGACGTTATTGTCTGATCGTGCTCTTTGTAGAGAAATGAACTTATATTTCTGTTTTTGTGGACTGATAGCTGCTGACATACTATATAAAGTGTCCACACATACACCCTAGGCTCAGGGAACACTGTTTGCCTGTTGTGAGAGGGATTCCACATTGAAGGGCTTTGCCTGCATTTCATGCAAATGAAGCTTGTGCTACAGCTTCTAAGCCTGGCCTGAGGGGAGAAGAAGAAACACACAGCCATTGTTAGCACAATCCACAGCTTAAAAAGTAAAAGTCGCAAAAGGGACGGGAATCTACATCTGAATTGCCATTTCCTGGAAGATGGGACTTTGATTTCCTGGGAAAAGCTGGTATCTATCTGCACATCAAAGGAGGTCCTGAAGCAGAGCTTTCACACCTGACCAGATGGCCTGTTCTGAGTTAGAGTCTAGAGTTTCAAATATTGTCCAACCCTTAGAGGTAGTGTCCTTTCTTGCACGCACTAATGAAATGTAGCAATGGGACGGACTAATAGTCAGGTGGACTCCAGATTGGCGAGGTTGCCAACCACCCCAAAGATTTCACTATAAAAAGCAGGAACCACACGCCTGGTCCTGGGCTAGCTACCCCCCCCCAACCTGCTGTAACTCCCCTTCTCCCTAGCCTGCTAAAATCCTTTGTCTTTACCTGACTTCTTGGTGTGTGCACAGCCAAAGAGGTCCACGCTTAGCTGGCTGGTTCTAACAAGTGTGTATTTAGAAATCCCACTAGATATTATCCTTACCCTTCAAGTTTTCATTGCAACAGACAAGACTCCAAGAACAGGCAAGTATGAACCGAAATATATACCTACCTACCTCCAAGTAAATGAGAAACTATCTTGATATCTTTCTGTAATTCTAAAGGAACCTTGAGTGTATGCTAATGTGAGACTGATTTTTGTATGTGTGACTTTGATATCCTTCAGTAAAAAGACTATTTGTTTTTGGGAAAACACCGGTCTAGTCTCCATCACTGGGGCTCTCTGGTGCGGGCAACACCTCCGTAAAAATTGGCAAGAGCTCATGTTAAATTTGGCCATCTGCTGTAGATAAAGCAATTGGCGTAACATCTTTAACTCCGCAAAGGCAAGGCGACCGTATTGGCGCAAACTGCTCGTGTGACCGCAGCCTCATGAGACCGGTCGAGGTCGCCACACGAGATCTTACCTGGTTGTCTTCCAGGTTGATCTCCTCGAGCAGGTTATGCTCCTCCAGACCCTCCAGGCTACTAATCCGGTTGCCGGACAGGTCCAAGGTCCTCAGGCCTTTCAGCTCTTCCAAGCCAACGGCCTTTTCGATCAGGTTGGATTTCTACAAAATTAACAGCAAGTGTGAAAAGTCGATTGAAGAAGAAATTAAAGACAGGATTGTCCCTTGACGGGTTTGACTTCCTTGCCTGACTTCTCTCACCCTGAAAACCGGTTCAAGCATGCGGGTGAATTTCTCTCCACTGAGGCCTAGTTTTGTCATTCAATGGACCCCCAAGAATGCTGGCGTGAAGGAAGAAGGCGAGGACACCCAGTTTTCCCAAATCACGGGGCATTATATGGCAGGGACGACTCATCGCTCACCATAAGAACATAAGAACATAAGAGACGCCAATGTTGGATCAGGCCAAAGGCCCATCCAGTCCAACACTCTGTGTCACACAGTGGCCAGAAATACCAGTGCCATCAGGAGGTCCAGCAGTGGGGCCAGGACATTAGAAGCCCTCCCACGGTTGACCCCCCCCCAAGCACCAAGAAGACAGAGCATCACTTGCCCCAGAGCCCCTATCTATACCTTGTGGCTAATAGCCACGGATGGACCTTTGCTCCATATGCTTATCTAATTCCCTTTTGAAGTCGTCCATGCTTGTAGCACCCACCACTTCCTGTGGCAGTGAATTCCATGTGTTAATCACTCTTTGGGTGAAGAAGTACTTCCTTTTATCCGTTCTAACCCAACCGCTCTGCAGTTTCATGGAGTGCCCACGAGTTCTTGTATTGAGAACTATGACCCAGGTCCTGGCAGAGAACGGACTCCATTAAAAAGCACTGAGTTCAGATGATGTGATAATTCTGCTCATGGCACTAAAATAGCTTCAGCAGCCATTCACGCATGTAGCCAAGCCTAGCTAATTTTTAAAAAATCTATTAGTTTGCTTTATTTACAGCCAGGCCCATAGCTACGGTGGGGCTTTTCGGGGCTCCGCCCCCTCTCTTAAAGGCATGGTCCCACAGGAATTTATCCAGAAAATGTATTTTTAAATCATTTTAAATCCTTTTCTGGAAGGTGGGTGTTTGCAAGCAAGGGAAGTGGTTCCAAATGGTGCACCTTTGGTAGGCCCACTAGAGAAAAAAATGCCCCACAAGCTAGAAAATCCTGGCTACGGGCCTAACATAAGAACATAAGAGAAGCCATGTTGGATCAAGCCAATGGCCCATCAAGTCCGTGTGTTACACCGTAGCCAAAACCCAAGTGCCCTCAGGAGGTCCTCCAGCAGGGCTAGAACTCCAGAAGCCCTCCCACTGTTGCCCCCCAAGCACCAAGACGACAGAGCATCACTTGCCCCAGAGAGTGTATTCCATCTATAAGGACATAAGAGAAGCCATGCTGGATCAAGCCAATGGCCCATCCAGTCCAACACTCTGTGTCACACAGTGGCCAAAAAACCCAGGTGCCATCAGGAGGTCCAGCAGTGGGGCCAGGACACTAGAAGCCCCTCCCACTGTTGCCCCCCCCCAAGCACCAAGAATACAGAGCATCCCATGCCCCAGACTGAGAGTTCCTCTTTATACCTTGTGGCTAACAGCCACTGATGAACATAAGAACATAAGAGAAGCCAATGCTGGATCAAGCCAAAGGTCCACCCAGTCCAACACTCTGTGTCACACAGTAGCCAAAAAATCCAGGTGCCCTCAGGAGGTCCATTAGTGGGGCCACTGTTTACAGCCTTTCTTTCTCACAGAGATTCAAGACAGATTACACAGTGTAAGACCATGCAATAAATAAGCAATATATTAGGACTAGAATTACAGCAATCTGAAGTAATCTGAAATACCGCCATTGTTGGTCACGTATGTGGGAATGAGATCTCAACATGCTGAGAGCCGGTTTGGTGTAGTGGTTAAGTGCGCGGACTCTAATCTGGGAGCACCGGGTTTGATTCCCCACGCCTCTACTTGCACCTGGCTGGATGACCTTGGGCAACCCATAGTTCTGATAAGAGCTGTCTGTTGTGGGGAGGGGAAGGGAAAGGAGTTTGTAAACCGCTCTGAGACTCCTTTGGGTAGTGAAGGGCGGGGTATAAACCCAATCTCTTCTTATCTCAAGAGCAGTTCTCAAGAGAGCTCTCTCAGCCCCACCTGCCTCCCAGGATGTCTGTGGTGGGGAGGGGAAGGGAAAGGTGTTTGTAAGCCGCTCTGAGACTCCTTTGGGTAGTGAAGGGCGGGGTATAAATCCAATCTCCTCTTCTTCTGAACATAAAACAGTAAGACACAACTATAGCCCCAGTTACAGGTCTGTGCCATCAAGTATCTCAAAAGAGAGTAGCCATGATAACCTGACTAATTAACAGTTCTTTTAATATTTAAATGAACAGTACATGACATATAACATGTGAAAATTTTTTATTAGAACTATAATAGACTTGTCTAGAAAAATAACAGGCTTGTTTCTTCTTATCTACAGTTCAAAACCTTTAGAGGATTCAGTAATAAGAACTTCAGTCCTTCTGTGTAGAGAGTTCATCAAAATGGGAAGAGTCTTTTTAGAGAGGAAAACATTTCACACCTCATTAGTGTATCCTGATTAAAGGAGCATGGAGGCCTGCTGACACAGAAGCCAGCGTGAAGACTGTCTTTCAGGGATTTTTTAAAAGCAGGAAAAAAGCATGTTCCAAAAGGTTTTTCCCCAAGGATTTTAAAAAGCAGGACACAAGAGCATATTTTGCAAAATAGCAGCAGTTTAAAGAAGAAGAGGAGGAGGAAGAGGAGGAGGAGGAGGAGATTGGATTTATACCCTGCTCTTCACTCGGAGTCTCAGAGCAGCTTACAAACTCCTTTCCCTTCCCCTCCCCACAACAGAAACCCTGTGAGGCAGGTGGGGCTGAGAGAGCTCTCTTGAGAACTGCTCTTGAGAGAAGAGGAGATTGGATTTATACCCCGCCCTTCACTACCCAAAGGAGTCTCAGAGCGGCTTACAAACGCCTTTCCCTTCCCCTCCCCACAACAGACACCCTGCGAGGTCAGTGGGGCTGAGAGAGCTCTTGACAGAAACTGCTCTTTTTCAAGGACAGCTCTTATCAGAACTGTGGCTTGTCCAAGGTACTCCAGCAGGTGCAAGTGGAGAAGTTGGGAATCAAACCCAGTTCTCCCAGATTAGAGTCCGCACACTTAACCACGACACCAAAACACTACAGCGAACATAAATGTTGATATTCTATTAGTATTTATGCGTGATTTATGTTCACAGAACCAGCATTGCTGTCAGTTGGCCATCTAGCCTCTGTCTGAATCCCTTCAGTGAAGGAGAGCCCACCACCTCCTGAGGAAGCCTGCTCCTCCGAGGAACCACGTCAGGAACTTGAACTGGGGAAGCTGAGGATAGAACCTTTGGCGTTCTGCATGCCAAGCAGACTCTCTACCACTCAGCCATGGCCCCTCCGCTCCTTTTCCACCTTCCCCACTAGCCTGCGGCGAGGCACGAAACAGCATCCTTCCCGTATTAAAGACCTGGAGACTGAGGGATCACATGCCCAAAGCCTCAGAGCCAGCCAAACGCTCAATGCTTTTCTAGAAACGGCGTTAAGGATGTACCATTTCGTGTCATTGCCCGAAGGGTAGATCTTGAGCATCATGACCAGAATTGAGTCCCCTCCCCATATGTCATCTCCTTATCAAATTAAATCCATGATCTCATCAGGACGGGATCTGTGAGAAGAGCCACGATCACATTTTAAAGGAGAAATATGATGCAGGATAAGGAGGCAATCTAATTTGTTCCTTCCCGATGCTGTTCTCTTATCAATCATCGCCAGAAGCAGAAGCAGGGACCTCCCCCCACCCCGCACGCATGCGAACACACACACGCACACCCTGTTGGAGAAAATTTAAAGCAGGGGTGTCAAACATGTGGCCCGGGGGCCGGACCAGGCCCCTGGAGAGCTTCCATCAGGCCCGCAGTGGAACTGGCCCATCTCCTGCTTCCAGTTCTGCTGCTGCATCCTAGCTTGCTTCGCCAGACTCTCTTAATCGCTCAGCCATTTCATGTTTTCCCCTGGGTCCTAGACTCAGAGCTCTGAGCATGAGCTCTCTGTGGTGAATGTCGATAAATCAAAAGTAGGTTTGCAGCTCATAGAGCTAATGTTTTAAGCATGTTTTTATTTTAAGTAAAAAAACCACCATCTTTGTGTTGGTGTCCTTTATAAAGTTTATATCTCCGCTATCTGGCCTTTCATTTTATGGCACACGTGGCTCTGGCCCGACAAGGTCTCATTTATGTCAGATCCGGCCCTCGTAACAAATGTTTGACACCCCTGGTTTAAAGGCATCATTCAGTTTTCCTTTTCAAGGGCAAAAGCAGCTTGGGTGTGGCGACAGTTGGTGAAAAAAACTCTGCAAGGGGAAAGTTATATCACCCTCTCCAGTGAATCAATCTCTCCTTTTAAACTCCCCCCCCACACACACCACTACAATCTGTTGTTCAGTCGCACAGTCGTGTCTGACAAAAAAAAAAACCCCAAAAAATGGTTGGGGCCCTATACAAAATTTACCATGCAACCAGAGACTATGCTATTGGGAGTTCTACCCATGAATATTGAAAGAGCAATATAGGAACTATTTTGATATATGTTAACAGTGGCACAAGTAGTGTTTGCAACTCAATGGAAAACGGAGTTCTGCCCAAATTTTGAAGACTGGAAAGAGAAGATGAATACTCTGTTATGGCAAAACTGAAAAATCATATAAATAACAGACCAAGTAGTCCATCTGAGAATAAACAGAGAGCTTTTTATGCCTATTATAGAGCTGTAAGTGTGATACAGGAGCTGCGGTGGCTCAAGGGGTTAAGACGCTGAACTGCAGGCTGTGGAAGGTCAGTAGTTCAGCAGTTCGAGACCTGAGTTGCCGCATGATGGAGTGAGCTCCCATCTCTAGTTCCAGTTCCTGCCAACCTAGCAGTTCGAAAGCAAGAAATTGCAAGTAGATAAATAGGTACCACTTGGGTGGGAAGGTAACAGTGTTCCGTGTGCCTTGGTGTTTACTCATGCCGGCCACATGACCACAGAAACGTCTTCGGACAGCGCCGGCTCTTCGGCTTTGAAACGGAGATGAGCACCGCAACCCTAGAGTCGGATTCGACTGGCTTTCGAGCAAGGGAACCTTTACCTTTACTTAAGAGTGATACAGTATTATGTTTTGATTATTTAGTTAATCAGTGGTTACCAATTCTTCACAGTCATACGATTTTCAACCGTTATATGGAATTTTTAACATTTGTTATTTCCTTGTTGCTATAAATCATTTTAAATGGTTTTTTGGCTATCTTAAACTTATATAAAATGTTGAGAGAATTTGTTTACACAATTTTCTTCATAGTTCTTTTCAGATTGAGAACAAGCAAATAGCGTATCTTAGGGAAACAGTGTTATGGGGGTAATATTTTAATGTTACAATGATTTGCCTAGACTTAATTCATTCAAGTTCATATTGTCTTTAGTATTTGTTTAAAAAGTGCCTTATGTTTATTTTTCTTTCCCACTAATGCTCCCTTTCCCCCCCCCCGGTACCCAATATAAAATTTAAAAAAAATTAACAAAAAATATTGGTTGGGGTCCTGGACGGCCCAGGCTGGCCCGATCTCACCAGATCTCGGCAGGGTCTGCCCTGGTGAGTACTTGGATGGGAGTCCACCATGGAAGTCCAGGGTTGCTATGCAGATTGCAAGCAACGGCAAACACCTCTGGATGTCTCTTGCCTTGACCTGGATGGCCCAGGCTAGCCCCATCTCATCAGATCTCGGAAGCTAAGCAGGGTTGGCCCTGGTTCGTACTTGGATGGGAGACCACCAAGGAAGTCCAGGGTCGCTATGCGGAGGCAAACAGCGGCAGATCACCTTTGCTTAGCTCTTGCCTTGAAAACCCAGTGTGGGGTTGCCATACGTCAGCTGCGATGGCGGCACTTTTTGCCACCGCCAAGGTCCTTCCCTGCCCTTCATTTCCTTGCGTGGCTCTGAACCACCTTTCTTTATTCAACCCTTTCCCCACAGGCAGGGCAGAGTGGCTGACATGGTTCTCCCCTTCTCAATTTTTTCCTCACAACCATCTTAGTTGGCCTCCCTGCTCCATTTCCCAATCTACTGAAGTACCCACTGATTCCACCTATGTGGCCCTGACAGGTTCTTTTTATGTAATTGATTTGGAATTTTCCCTCTCTTGTGGTAGTATGGCCTAGGGTATGGGTACTTCAGAGGACTATGTGGCCCCGAGGAACTACTGTACTGATTTCTGGGATACGTTTAAACAAAAATTGATTTTTTAATAAAGAACATAATAGGTTTCTGGTTATTTTGAACAGTTGCTGAAGAAAGGAACTTGTAAATATAACTGGCAAAGCTTGGTGCCACGAACAGTCTCTCAAACTCCCAAAACTCCACTCTGACAGGCTTAGACACTCAGTCTAATCTCTCTCTCATATATATATATCATCATATAGGCTAATCTCTTTGTTTTATTCACACAGAACAGAATCAACTCTCTTAGTCACACAGACTACACTGTCGGTCTTATTCACTCAGAAATAGACTCCAAATCTTATAGTCTCACAGACTATGTTCACTCTTCAAACTTCACACATGGAATCTCTTTTTACTGTTTTAATTATTTTTGTTGTTGTTCAGTCGCACAGTCGAGTCCGACTCTCCGCGACCCCATGGACCAGATCACGCCAGGCCCTCCTGTCTTCCGCCGTCCTCTGAAGTTGGCTCAATTTCATGTTCGTTGCATCTATGACACTGTCTAACCATCTCATCCTTTGCCGTCCCGGTCTTCTTTGACCTTCAGTCTTTCCCAGCATCAGGGTCTTCTCCAGTGAGTGCTCCCTTCTCATTGGGTGGCCAAAGTATTTGAGCTTTAGTTTCATTATCTAGCCTTCCAGGGATGTAACGTAATTTTATTGTAACGCATCTCTGACTCTTGTTTTGTCGTGATCCGCCCCGAGCCCGTTTTGGAGAGGGTGGAATAAAAATCCAAGAAATGAATAATAGATAAAAACAGGGCTCTTTTGTAGAAAAGGCCCAGCAGGAACTCATTAGCATAAGAGGCCACACCCAACAGCAGGAACTCATTGGCATATTGGGCCACACCCCTGACAGCACAGCTCATTAGCATATTAGGCCGCACCCCCATGTTACCAGAAGTGTGGTTATCCAGCCACACACCCCTTTTGCTTGTTATTCTCTTTACCTTGTTGTCAAAACCCAGGGCCTTTTTTTGTAGCAGGAACTCCTTTGCATGTTAGGCCACACACCCCTAATGTAGCCAATCCTAATGAGTTCCTGCTGTTGGGTGTGGCCTATTATGCTAATGAGTTTCTGCTGGGCGTGGCCAACTTGGGAGTCAGCCGGAACTCCGTTCCTGTGCGTTCCTGCCCAAAAATAGCCCTGGATAAAAATAATGATAAACCACCCCACGAAGGCTAAGGAGCAGGCGACTGGCGCCAGGTCGTTGCAGTGAGAGATCTTCCCCGAAAAGGAAAACGGACTTACCAAGCAGAGGGTTCTGATGGGCAGTTTCTGCAGGCCGGAGATCGCCGTGATCTTGTTGTTCGCCAGGCTGAGGTAAGTCAGGCTCTGACACTTCTCCAGGCCCCGGATCTCCTCTATCTTGTTATCTGTACGTCAACAGCGAACTTAAGGAACAACAGCGTGTTGCGAGATATTGAAGGGGCGGGAGTACAAGCCACCAAGGAAGGAAGTCCTCCGGAGGAAGCGCCATCAGAACAGAGGAAGCGACAACTGCTTTACCAGCTCCGGCCATGGCATGGCATCCCATGGCTGTCTCGTTCAAAGTCTACCACATGGGGAAAACCCTGGCTAGAACTCTGGTGCATCTCCAGGGGAAGAGGGTTTGGGAAGAAGTTCTCTTCCAGTTGCAGTCCCAACAAGGACACATTCCTGCAGGAAAGCTTCAATGAGTAGGCTTGAGTACGGTTCCCAGTAGACATAGGAACAAAATTGGGAACCTGCGGGGACTTGCGGGGGGAGGACGTCTCATCTTCCCCTCACCCACCGTTTCCTCTTTTCCTCCCCCAAATGCCCCTATAGCCTCCTTCCTTTTACTGTTTCCTTCCCGCCAGGGGCGGATGAAGGCTCACTGGTGCCCTAAGCACTGACCAATCTTGGTGCCCCCCCTCCTTTCCACACTGACCCCCAGTCCATTTTAGTTGTTGACCTGTCTGACCAGATATACAATGCAGGTGGCAGCAATACAAAAACGCATTCATATGATAACTGTACAAACTACATACTGTAGAAACTAAGCTTTTCACCCTTTTCCCAACGTTGCGGTGCCCCCTTTGGCCCTGGCGCCCTAAGCACGAGCTTAGTCTGCTTAATTGTAAATCTGCCCCTGCTTCCCGCCCACCAGCAGACCTTGTTAAAGATCAGCGGTCGACCAGGGAACTGAGCAGTCTGGAATCCATTTTTAATTTCGCCCTGAAAACATAGCTTCATTATACATTCACACGCCCCCAGATGAGACTTGAACTCCCGGCTGTTCTAGTTGCAGCAAAAAAGCACCAAGACCGATGGTAATAAAACAGGCCTCCACTCCACAGAAATCCGAAAGGACTTAAAGTGGGAGGTGGCATCATCGATGAAGTACTGGGAGTCAGTCGGTGTTAACAAACCAATTGGGGGGATATTAATGGCCCGCTGCAAATGCTTTGGCAGGTACCGGACTTGAGAAGGACGCATCCTTCTTCTCAGGTTTCAGGCAAGGCCTCCACTATGGAAACAGATTTATAACCCTGCCAGGTGTATTTGCCTGCATGCATGCACAGCCTGACAAGGAAACCCTTAATGCAACTTCCAGAAGCGCAGGAGGCGGCTTTTCCGCTCCCGTCAGTTCAGACAGGGCCTCTTGTGCAAGATATGAGCATGCTGGTTCATCCGTGGCTTACAAGAGGACCAATTTGTCTGGCTGTCTTCCCTTGGGGGGGGCGGGGTTCAAGGGCTCAGGCTCTGTTGGTGCTCATGGAAGAAAATCCAAAAGGCACAAATCCTGTCCTCCCACACAGACACACACACACAATTTACAACCCGCCAGCCAGTTTACGAAAGGGAACGGCTCAAAAAACTCTTGGGATGCCCGTCTCTTGGGAAAGTCTGCCCTCCCCTTCCTGGCTTGAGGCCTGTACCTCAGGGAGGCTCACAGCTCGGCCACTCCTCCAGCAGTGGCTGTTTCAAGGGGGCGACCACCTGCTGACCACAAGCTCCACTGGGGCAAGGCCATGACCCACACCCCTGAAACGTGGGGCGGGTGCCACACTGGGGGGGGGGACGAGAGTGCTCAGAATAGGCACGGGTGGCGTGTCAAAAAGGCAGGTGCGGGTATTAGACGCAGTCACGGAGCCCTAGGCCTGTCAATGGCTACTAACAGTGACGGCTCAGTGGGACCTCCTTGCTTAGATGCAGTATACCTAGAATCAGGGGTCATTTCCTGCAGGAGCGGAGCTCCGGCAGTAAGGAGCCCAGGGGGCGGGCACATGCAACAAGCCATGCCCCCTGCTCCCAGCAGACCCCAGTCAGGCCACGAGGAGCCAGAAGCAGCCAGGTAAGTTGCAGAGCCCCCCCCCCGCCTGCCTTCAGGTACGAGCTCTCCCTCCTCTGTGAGGGAAGATCTACACGTTCCTACCCCCCATAGCTAGCAATACAAAACAGTCCAGTGGCACCTTTAAGACCAAGTTTTATTCAGGTACAAGCTCTCCTTCCTCTGCTAGGGCAGATCTGCACATTCCTCCCCCCCTCCATAGCTAGCAATACAAAACAGTCCAGTGGCACCTTTAAGACCAAGTTTTATTCAGGTACGAGCTCTCCCTCCTCTGTGAGGGCAGATCTGCATGTCCCCCCCACATAGCTAGCAATACAAAACAGTCCAGTGGCACCTTTAAGACCAAGTTTTATTCAGGTACAAGCTCTCCCTCCTCTGTGAGGACAGATCTGCACGTCCCCCCCAAATAGCTAGCAATCTAAAACAGTCCAGTGGAGCCTGAGCGGTGGGTGTTGCCTTCTGACGCACTTCCGGTGATGTCAGGGGGTGTGGCATATGCAAATGAGTTCTGCTAATAAGTCATGCTAATGAGCTCCTGCACCTTTTTCTACGAAATGACCCCTGCCTAGAATCATAGAATCACAGAGTCGAAAGGGGCCATGCAGGCCATCTAGCCCAACCCTCTGCTCAATGCAGAATCAGCCTAGAGCAGTGGTGGTCAAACTGTGGCTTGGGAGCCACATGTGGCTCTTCCATACATATTCTGCGGTTCCCGGCAGGGCAGCTGGGGAAGCAAAGGGGAGGCACGCCTCCCCAATTGGTCTTCCCTTCCCCAGCCAGTGTTCCTGGGTAGGCTTGAGGTGGGGGGAGCAGAGAAAGAAGGCAACTTTAACTTTAGATGCATTCCTAAAGCGCTCCCCACCCCGCTGGCCAGCTTGGAGAAGGCATCTGTCTCTTTAAATTCCTTCTCCAAGCCAAGCTAGCTGAAGTTGCTTTCTTTCCACTTCTCCCTCCCTCTTCTTTCTTTCTTTCTCTCTCTCTCTCCCTCCCTTCCTTCCCTTTCTCTCCCTTGCTTTCTCTCTCTCTCTCTTTCCTTCCCTTTCTTTCTCTTTCTCTTTCCTTCCTTTCTCTCCCTCTTCCTTTCTTTTTTTCTTTCTTGCTTTCTTCCTCTCTCTCTTCCCCTCTCTCCCTCCCCATCTATTTGATTTCCTTCCACCTTTCTTTTTCTCTCCCTTCTTTCCTTTCCTCCACTCTCTTTCTTCCCCCTCCCTCCCCATCTATTTTCTTTCTTTGTTTTTCTCTCTTTCTTTCCACCTCTTTCATTCTTTCTTTCCACCTCTCCTTCTTTCTCTCAGTGAAATAAATATCATTAGCAAACAAATAAATATCATTATCAATATCTGTTTTTACCCCTTTTGTTGTTATTTTTGACAGTCTCGTTTAATGCTAGTAAAAGCAAACTTGCATATTTTTCAATAAAAACACATGTGTAATATTTGTTCCTGTCTTGCGGCTCTCAAACATCTGCCGTTTATTCTATGTGGCTGTTACGTTAAGCCTAGAGCCTCCCTGACCCCTAGTCTAGAGCATCCCTGACAGGTGTTGGTCCAGCCGCTGCTTCAAGACGGCCAGTGAGGGGGAGCTCACCACCTCCCGGGGCAGCTGATTCCACTGTGGTACCACTCTGACCGTCAAAAAGTTTTTCCTAAGACCCATTCTTGTGAGTCATGCTCTCAGCCTCGCCTACCTCACAGGATTGCTGTGAGGATAAAATGGAGGGGAGGAGAATGATGTCAGCCGCTTTGGGTCTGCCTTCCACCAGCAAACAATATGTTAGGTACTGGTTTCAATAATTTGAATTTGTATTGAATTGCATTCAACTATTACATGGTGTTTGTTCCAGCTAGTTTCGTGTCATGGTTTAGTGCGCGGACTGTAATCTGGGAGAACTGGGTTTTGATTCCCCACTCCTCCACTCACAGCTGCTGGATGACCTTAGGCAAGCCATAGTTCTGTCAGAGCTGTTCCTAGAATCATAGAATGTTAGAGTTGGAAGGGACCTTGCAGGTCATCTACGACAGCCCCCCGCACTCTGCAGGAGCATCGCCGAAAGATAGCCCTACAACACACCCGAAAGATGGTCGTTCAGCCTCCGCTTGAAAACGTCCAGCGAAGGAGCATCCAACACCTTCCGAGGTACACTGTTCCACTGCCACTCTTACAGTTAGGAAGTTTCTCCTGATATTTAGCCGGTATCAACTCCCTTGTAATTTCCACCCATTAGATCTAGTCTTGCAATCCAAAGCAAGAGAGAATAGATCTGCTCCATCTTCGACATGACAGCCCTTCAAATACTTGAAGACCGCAATCCTGTCCCCTCTAAGCCTTCTCTTTCCCAGGCTAAACATGCCCAACTCTTTCAGTTTTTCCTCCTAAGACTTAGATTCCAACCCTCTCACCATCCTGGTTGCCCTCTTCTGGACACGCTCGAGCTTGTCAACACCCTTCCTCAAATGGGGTGCCCAAAACTGGACACAGGACTCAAGGTGAGGCCTGACCATAGCAGAACAGAGCGGAACTACCACCTCCCATGATCTGGACACAATGCTTCTTCCGGTTATGCACCCTAAGATTGCATTAGCTTTCTTCACAGCGAGATCGCACTGCAGGCTCATGTTTAGCTTGTGATCAACCAGAACACCTAGATCCCTTTCACATGTGCTGCTGTCAAGCCAAGTCCCTCCCATTCTGTATCTGTGCCTTTGGTTTTTTGTACCTAAGTGTAGGAAAGAGCAGTTCTCTTAGAGGTCTCTCAGCCCCACCTGTTGTGGGGAGGAGAAGGGAAAGGCATTTGTAAGCCGCTCTGAGACTCCAAATGAGGGGCGGGGTATAAATCCAACCTTTTCTTCCTCTTCTATTGGATCCCTTCCACTAGTGGCATACAGACTGGATCGCTCACTCGAGCGATCTGCACTGAAGGAATCCTTTGCAAGAGCACATGGCATGACCTGTACAGGTGTTTGGGGGACTGGCGTGTTATGGAAGCAGCGGAGCGAATGGCCCTGCCTTGCAGCATCCACCAGGGTTCTTTGCCTAATCACACCTGTAACGTTTCTCGTGATCCAGTCGTCAAAGTGCCATCCGATCACTGTCAAGGGGTTGGTGCGTGGACCAAAGCATCCCTGCAGGATCGGTTCTTGCAATCCGGGAAGGGGAGTGAAAGCCCAAGGGCTTTGTATCCAGGCGATTCAGTGCAACCCGGCTTGTTTATTCTCTGCCCGGGAGCCTCGGGGGAGCAGCGGCTTTGGGCCGGCCTCCTCCCGCGAGATGTGCCGTTCCTTGACTGCCAGGGAGTGGAAACGTTCAACACCGGCTTCCTCGGTCCCCTCAACGTGTAATCAGCAACACTGACGTTTTCAACATTTGATATTAGTTTCTTGTCGAGTTTACCCCTCATTTTCCCCTAAGAGGCTATTTCCTCCTTTACAGGGCACCGCAGGCAATCAAGGACTTGCTCTGGGAGATACGGGATCTGTGGCAGATCAGAGGAGATGGAGGGGTTTGAACCCCCCCCCCCAGGATGAGCCACTTGACAAGGTAGCCACGGGAGCAGAGGACCAGCGATGGCAGACATGAAGCTGCCTTATACTGAATCAGGCCATTGGTCCACCAATGGATGTATTATTGACTCAGACTGGCAGCTGCTCTCCAGGGTCTTGGGCAGAGAGGTCTTTTCCATAGCCAGCTGCCCGGTCCTCTTACCTGGGGATGCCGGGGATTGAACTTGGGACTTTCTGCATCCCAAGCAGATGCTCCTCCAGAGAGCCACAGCCTCACCCCAACACACAAAGCTGCGTTATGCGGAATCAGACCCTCCGTCCATCAAGGAGTCTTGTCTACACAGACTGGCTGTGGCTCTCCAGGGTCTCATGCAGAGGTCTTTCACATCACCTCCTGCCTGGTCCTTTTTACTGGAGATGCCGGGGATTGAACCGGGGACCTCCTGCCTGGCAAGCAGAGGCTCTGCCACTGAGCCACGGCCCCTCTTTACAGCCCTCCAGGGTCTCAGGCTGAGGTCTTTCCCATCACCTCCTGCCTGGTCCTTTTAACTGGAGATGCCGGGGATTGAACCTGGGACCTTCTGCATGCCAAGCAAAGGCTCTGCCACTGAGCCACAGTCCCTCTTTACAGCTCTCCAGAGTCTCAGGCTGAGGTCTTTCCCATCACCTCCTGCCTGGTCCTTTTAACTGGAGATGCCGGGGATTGAACCTGGGACCTTCTGCATGCCAAGCAAAGGCTCTGCCACTGAGCCACAGTCCCTCTTTACAGCTCTCCAGAGTCTCAGGCTGAGGTCTTTCCCATCACCTCCTGCCTGGTCCTTTTAACTGGAGATGCCGGGGATTGAACCTTGGACCTTCTGCATGCCAAGCAAAGGCTCTGCCACTGAGCTACAGCCCCTCTTCACAGCTCTCCAGGGTCTCTGCCATAGTCAAGACTAAGCACAATGTGGCACAAACAAAACACAAGAATCACTTTATCAGAGTCACATTAAAAAAAACACCCTGATGTGATATTCTAAATATTTCTACTGTCTTCTGTTACCCTACCAGAAATTTTAAAATTACATGAGACCCCATGATAAGAACATCAGAAGAGCCCTGCTGGATCAGACCAGTGGTCCATCGAGTCCAGCATCCCGTCTCACACAGCAGCCAACCAGTTCCTCTGGAGGGCCAACAACACGGCAAAGAGGCCAAGGCCTTCCCCTCATAAGAACATCAGAAGAGCCCTGCTGGATCAGACCAGTGAGGGTCCATCTAGTCCAGCCTCCTGTCTCA